CAGCAGCAGTTTGAAAAAGCACCTGCGGATCCACTACGACGAGCGGCCCTTCAAGTGCCAGATCTGCCCCTACGCCAGCCGCAACTCCAGCCAGCTCACCGTGCATCTCCGCTCTCACACGGGTAAACAGTTTAGAAAATCCATCATTATAATAGTTGTTTAACTCATCGACTGCCAGAGTTTTTTGAGCATTTTGACTGATTTTTCAAGAGCCACAGAATAGTTTGTGCTATGACTATGTAAACACCGAACACACCAAAAGAAAGAGTAGACTCTATTCTTTCATCAGGAAAAAAAAATAGTTTCTACCTTATTCCGTTCTTCCTCAACTTGCGTCTTACCGGCGACATGTTCTCTCATAGTGAAACGTTACGTTTTTTTTTATTTGCCTACAGTCTTTGCTCATCTCCCATCAAAAGTGGCACTGCCACCTAGAAGTTCAATTTGTTACTACATACTCTGTCTAGCAGCCTGATATTTACGGAAAAGCTTCAGCAGATCGTCCCCCAACCCACTCTCGTTGAAAAACATAAAAGACGTCTAAACACGTCTTTGGCAGCCAATGAGTTAATCCGTTTTTTCTGTTTCTCAGGAGATGCGCCGTTCCAGTGCCAACAATGCGACGCGAAGTTCAAAATCAACTCGGACCTGAAGAGGCACGTCCGGATCCACTCGGGGGAAAAGCCTTACAAGTGCGACTTTTGCGAGTACCGCTGCGCCATGAAAGGCAACCTGAAGTCTCACGTCCACATCAAACACGGCACGGAGAACTCCTTCGAGTGCGCGCAGTGCGATTTCAAGTGCGCCAGCAAGGCGGTTCTGAGGCAGCACTCGCGGCAGCACCAGCCCTCTCAGCCCGTTCAGTGCTCAAAGTGCACTTACTCCTGCGCCAGCAAAGGGGCGCTCAAAGTCCATGAGCGCATCCACTCGGAAGAGCGCCCCTTCAAATGCGACTTCTGCGGTTTCACGTCCAAGCAGCTCAGCAATCTCATCATCCACAAAAAGAAGAGTCACTCGGACAAGCCGGTCAAAGACAGCGGCAGAAAGGGGGGGAAAAACACCGGTGGGGACTCCCCTAAACCCGCCGGGTCCCGATACAGGGCCAAGCTGGACGCGGCCCGGGCCTTCTGCTGCGATGTCTGCGACGCCTCGTTCGTGCGGGAGGACTCCCTGCGCAGCCACAAGAAGCAGCACAGGGACGCTCAGAGCCTGCTGCAGCTCTCCACCGCGCCGGAATCCCTCAGCCTGGTTCCTGTTACGGTATCGCAGAGCGACCCTCAGTTGGAGGTACCCATCTCTGAGCCTCCTTACGGCAACACGCAGCTCAAAATCATCGTTCCGCACGCGCTCTCCCATCAGAACTCCAACGGTCAGAGTAAGAGCAAAATGCTGCTGCTCAGCCCGGAGAGCCAGGACATGGTCGTCAACTCCATGATCCAGCAGGTGAACCTGCTAGCCCCCGTGCAACCACTCGGGTCGTCTCAGGCCAACCTGGAGTCCCAAACCGTGCTCCTGACGCAGCTGGGCCCGGAAGACACCAACAACCCCCTCCACCAGGCCCTGTTGCAGACCGCCATCAGCGGTCAGGAGTCCAGCGGCGGCACGCAGACGCTGATCACTGCCTGCTCCGAGCTGGAGGGCTTCAACACCCTGCTCCAGGCGGGCGGCGGCGAAGTGACGGTGGTCACCGTGGGCAACTCCGCCCTGGCAGACGCGCCCAAGCCCAAAGCGGAGGAAAGCACTTTACCGTGTCAGGAAAGCACACTGCTGGTGCCCAACATCGGCCTGGCCAGCCAGAACGTGGTCATCCACAGCGTGCCGCTGATAGTGTCCACTCAGCCGCTGCACACCGAGGTGGAGCAACTCTCGCCACACGCACTCTACACAGACTCTCACACATCAGAAGGGATCTCACAATGAGTCGAACATACTTTTACCGCATCATAAGCTAGTTTTTTTCTTTGCCTGACAGAAGTGTCGGACCCAATAGGTACCATGGTTTATCAATACTGTTGACCCGGACATTATTATTGCAGTCTTTTATTTTAGAATATTTGTCATTGTAGTCAAGTCAATGTTCACTTTACATCATGAACAAACATTGAAAGCTGATTCATGTTGCCATTCAATTTAAGCAGTTTTCACAAGTTGGATGCTTCAAGAAGAGATGCATTTAAATCAGTATATTAAACTGTTTAGTGTAACTTCAGTTTTAGCATCATGCATATACATCACATCAAAATAAAGTCTTAAATGAATGGAACTAGAACGTGTCTCAGTCCCATGCATTTCCAGGTTTGTCCATAAGGTGGCAGCAGAGCGACATAAAGAATGAGGTTCAGGCTCAACATTTGGAGAATCTTGTGAGCTTGTCCTCTCTTCATCTTGGAAATAGATGTCATTTGCTGACAACATTAGGTTACATATCAAGGTCTTACTTTCTAAAAGCCGAGTTGCTCTCCCAATAGATTTTCAATAAAGTCCCTGTTTTGCTTGCTGCTCTCTATTATTCGGCCCATTTTTACACACGGACCTCAGCACTTAGTATTCGCAGAAAGCGGATGCTGCACCTGAATAGGAGTCTCCTGTAAACGACTAAACATTGATTTCTTTCTTCTCCCAGCGCTAATGGGTCCACTGCTTTTTCAGGCTCAGCGTGACCGCAAAATTCAAGTGAATTTGTATGAAATAGATGTTCGAGGGCCTCACCTCAGTCATTCTGCTTTTCAAAAACATAATTGCAACAGTCCTCTATTGTGGTTCTACATCTGATTAGAAAGTCCTTTGACCTTTTAAAAATATCTAAGCCTGGATGTCCCTGCACTGTTAAGGACATCTGGATACGTTAATTTAGTAAAACTCGATAGAATACAAGCATTTTTACTTTTTGGGATTTTTATGGATAAAACTTGTATACTTATTTTGCCACCCAAATGAGGAAAATAAAGCCACTGAGTGAACAATTTAGATGTCTCAAAATGTCTCTAAATCTTGTTTGTGTAAGGCCAGACAGTCATTATCTGTCTCTCAAGAGGCCAAAACGGTTTGTCCTTATAATGTTCTGAAAGCACCAGAACAGAGAATATATAGATCTGTGTGAATGAGCTCTAAATAGTCTCATAGAATTGTCCCAAGTATAGAAGTTCTAGTTATTAATTAGTCCAGATTCGTTTTGACTGAACACATAATGGTCCTAGCTAACCTAAACACAGCTAAAACTGGCCAAAAGAGAGCAGATTAATGAACACATCAGAGTGTGTCAACACACAACTTGATTCACGCTTGGAATATCACAGGTGTTTGTTTTTTTGTCCCTTCTCTTTGTCTTAAAGGACAAGAAGACATGGCCTCAGATGGAGCTGTGAAAAATACTGGAAACTCCATTATTCATGAAGGTAAGTGTATGGAAGGAAAAAGCAAGAAAATGCTCTCTGGTGTATCTCTTTGATCTATTATCTAACAGACTTCCAGGCCATAATCCTGAGAGCCCGGCCCACCACCACACCCACCCCCGAGTCATCTCCTGTTTCCCTCTAACTCATGTGACATCAGAGCTGGGTTAAGTACTTTTCCTATAGGCTAAAACATCTTTGCAGCTTTGCCTTTAGGAAGGGTGGGGAAAAGTTGTGTTACTGGACAAAAAAAAACATATTTTCTTATCTGAATATGGTTGACGTTTAGCTAACTATTCAGTGAAGGTTAGGATGAGTCACCTGATATTAAACTTGCATTTTAATTTTTATCGTCATCATCAAGGACTTTGTCAATTCTGTCATTCAATTCAAACCAAGGCAAGGTTTAATTAAATATCCCCTTTTGAGAAAGCTAAAAATGAGTTTTAAACATGAGTTTTTACTGTATGTCATTTTCCAGTTCCTTCCTTCCTGTGTTTGAAATGCCAGCTTTTGAATGGGGTCATAAATGTCTCCCCAAAAAAGCAATTTCCACTCCCAGCTGCTTAAAGAAATCATATGCTGTGATGCATTTCTTGTAGACGTAAATAGAGAGGACCAGGTGGTTAAGGGACTTTAACACCAAGAATTTTAATTATGGTCTTTTCAAAGCACCAACAATTTAGCTGGTGCTTTTAAAAGACTGTTTTTAAAAAATATATTGTTTCTATAGCACAGGTGGGAATAAATCAGACTCTAAGAGCAAAAAGTTTAGTTCCACATTGGTCTTTTCCAGGTAGATTCTGTCAATTTAACAATATATTTCTGACCTTTGCTTTGTTTGCACACGTTTTGCTATCTGGTCAGCAAATGGCATTGGATGCTTTAATGAAATTAACTGATTGGTGAAGTATTGATATGGATTTGTTTTTCCAATGCTGGCATCTTTTCGGTGTGACACTATTGACATCTTAAGTGAGTTTGATTCCGCAGAGCACTGGAGGCTTTTATCTTGTCTCCTGTCAATTCTTTTTTTCTTCCTGTGTGATAGAAATTCAGAATGATAGAGCAATTTGATCAGCAGTTTACAGCCAAGTAACACAAATACAGCTTAATTTGCCTTTTTGAATGCTTTGTGATTATTTGCTGAGGTGTTATTAGGCTATTGTGATGTCTGGGAAAGGAATCAATTCAATCATTGAAAGGCAAACTCTAGTTTTAAGATACGGTTAAATCTTTTATGTCTTTTTTCTTTTTTTCAAAGAAGGCATAATTGAAGGCATCTGAATTTTTTTGTCGGTAGTGTTTTTTTTAAACTTCAACATCTTTGTTACTGTTTTGTGGTATTTGAGAGTGTTGTTTTAGTCTTTTTTGTCTATGTTAGGTTGTCAGGAAGCATTACTCTGACAGGCTCTTTTGTTGTTGTTTCGTTAAGGCTGCAAGCACAGTTTACAACAGGTTCTTGGGGGGGCAAAAAATAAAAATAATTTCCCCCAACAAGGGCAAGAAGGTGAGAAAAGCAGAACCCTTAAAAATTATTTGGTGGACATAAGAATGCTCAAGCATCTTTTTGAATATTGGTTACACCATGTAGTACCCAATTTGATCTGGTGAGTAAAAGGAAGCTTCTTTTAGCTTTTGCGATTCATTAACAAAAACATTTTTCCCTTGTTTCCATATCTTGTTTCTTTCCCTCTAACCCTAGCCAGATGACAGGGGAGAACAATCACTCTCTTTTTCATTAATTCCATGTTCAGTGGGAAGTTGTGTGTGGAACCCTGGCCAAGTGTCAATCTTGGGCCATCAGGTTTGGCTCCGCGTGGATGCAGGATTTGTTTTTTATGTCGGGTTTTGTGGCCACCTCTGATCATTCTCCTACATCAGCATATTGCATTGTGTTTCCTCTATGACCGTTCTCATAGTTTGCCTAGTGGCTTGGTCAGTGTTTTTTTTTTTGTTTTTTTGTGGTTCGACCTTTGTTTTCATCAGGCTGCTATTGTATGGAGATTAGATTGTTCTTAAGCATTCCGTAATTTATGTCACTTTGTGGAGAGTTGAAATACTGATAGGTATTGTAATTATAAGCACAATGCAGGCAAACAGGTTTTCGTATTTTGGGTGGGTGGATGTTTGCACCTTTGTGGTATCTACAATTTAGTCGCTGAACTTTAAAGTCAATGCTTATGCATTAACTAAGATGTCCTGTTGCGTCACCCAAAAAAAAAAAAACCTACTTACAATTTTAGAGATTCCACTGGTTTCAACAGATGGCCATGAGCAAGCAAAATGTTTTCTTTGTTCACACATGCCTTATCCTAAAAAAAACAAACATGATGGAAATCTGATCTTTACACATACAAGACATTGTTGTGTGTGTGTGTGTGTGTGAGTCAATGTGTGTGTGCACATGCATGTGTGTGTACTTAAGTCTGTGTTTACTCTGCTCTGAAAATGCTTATAGCACACACAGATACTGGTGCTAATTTAATTCTTGTACAATGGGAAAAAGATTAAGTTTACATAGAACAGTCATGTGGTTGTTGGTAGGATTGACTATTGTTTTCAACACACACACACACACACACACACACACATATACATATACACATATACATATACATATACATATACATATACATATACACATACACATACACATATACATATATACATATTTGTCTTGTTTACGTATCCTTTTCCATCATTGTTGATAAATTATGACACTAAGAGACTGTCAGTAGACCCTAGGAACCCTTGTGTTTTCATTTTGATATGGGGGTTGTGTTTCTCAGTAACTGAAGATGGTTCAGAGACAACAGAATTAAGACATCACATAAACCCTAAACTAGTTAGTAAAGAAAAAGGAGAAAAAAACGTGCGCCTCCATCCTCACTGAATAGTTTTTCCCTTCAAATGAAAATGTTCATCCCGCTAGCATAATGTCCATTCAGCTTCATCATCCAAGTCATAGCTTGTCCATATTCTATGTTTGTTTGACCCCAGAGGGGCGCGAACCCTGGCTGATCCTTCATTTGAGGACAAAGCTTATGTTTGCGGTGACATCATAAATGCCAGCGCAGAGACAACAATGGCTGATGAATTTAGTGGGAGTCAGGCACAGTGGACGGCAGAGACGCAGCCTGAAACTTCCAGTGTCATGGAAAGTTTTTTTTTTTCAGAAAAAAGGGACCCACGCCTTGACTAAACAATGCTGAGTGCTTCCAAAATGGGAAGAGTGGCTGAAGAGATCGAATTGCCGAAGTTGTTTTAAAAATGGGCTTGTGTGTGTGTGTATGTGTGTGTGTTGAGAGGGGGGTATTGCTTGGTTCATCAGGTTATAACACTAAATGCTTCTATGACGCTTTGTGGAAAGAGAGACAGTCAGAGACAGGACACTGCTCCTCGGGGAAGAAAGACGCTTTGTTTTTATAGGCTGCTTGGAATGTGTTGAGGACTGTGGACATCTGCTTCATTTGCATACGTGAATCCACCCCCAGCAATTAATCCGCTGGTGGTCTGATAATGTATCATAGTGTAACTGATATCTGCCAGCTTAGCCTTTCTGAATGGCGTTCTTTTTTTTTGGTATGACATCAGGGTTCTTTGGCGGATTTAATCATTTATATACAAAACCCTTGACTTGGAATTGGTCCTTGCATATTTTAATTCTTTCAACAAAATCCAGAGATGATAAGATTTTGATTTACTCTGGCCATCCTCAAGCTTATTGGTGTGAAAATACCAAGAAGAACCATTCTTAGAGTCATTCTCAGGTCATTACAAATGCATCCCACCCATGTACTCATACTGGCACATGGATTACCATTTTCTTTGTTAACCTAATTACAGTATTGTGGCTTCTTGTCTTTTTTCAAAATCAAGTAGGGGGTAAGTAGGGGGTATGTAAACGTGAATGTACAATTGCTTATGGATGAGATTTGCTTTTCTTCAAATGTAAATTGAGAAGCGACTTTCTCAAGGTTCTCTGAGGGTTTTTTTTTTTTAGTTATGTTCAAAATGAATCATTAAGAAGTTGCAGAGTTTTCCTGCTTTTTACAGAAATTAGCTCAAATGTAAACATTCGAGCAATAACACATATCCTCCGGCAGTTTCCCGTCATCACCATTTCAAGTCAGAAAATGAATTAGTCTGTGAATGATACATAATTTCTCAAAAAGCTGGCTGATAAAAATCAAGAGGCCCCCCTCAGACCTCCTTTTAATAGGCCAGGCTCATGTAACCTAACACCTTTAAGGGTGTGCACTCAATCAAGCCTATTGTTTCTGCTCACATACAGTTCCCTGGGTGAGATAAGTAAGTAAGTCCTGGCCACAGTGATAACAACAATGTCCAAAAAGTAAGAATACAACACTTCTGTTTGTGAGCTTCACACCCAGAATTAGTACAGAGACAGCTATACTGATATAAATTACATTAATGATGGGAATAATGTATGAGACAACAATGTAAGGAGATTCTACACTGAGGTTTTATTTCTAAAGTAACATGAATGGAGACTAATATTCAGGATATTAGTCAGGATGTGATGAGGTGAGCTCATGCTTGTAGTTTGATATGTGTAGCTATTTGATGAGGGTCGGCCACTAAATAGGCCACATAAATATTATTGTGCAGAGGATGTGAGTCAGGACAGAGAGAATACCATTTACTGGGCCATTACTTGAGTTGAAAGGAAAAGGAGGAAGTTGGTTTGAAGATTTGTCAGCATCAGATCTCTGTTTTAGAAAAGGGGGTGGTCTCTGCACAGCAAAGGAATGTGAGAAAAGGCTCGGGATTGTTTTTTTCCCTGCTCACATATAAGAATAGCCACCAGATCCTGTGTGCGAGAAATGACTGATAGTGAATTGATAATTGAAAATAGAGTCATTCTCATTATCATAGGCATCTCTCAATGTTCTCTTATGTGATTTAAATACTGTATGGACTTCATTCTAAGCATTGTAACAGTTTTT